GCATGCCGAAGCAGTCATTTCCCATGTGAAAGGATGAATCAGTGCGAGATGGATTTTCGATTTCTTTACATTTTGCAGCACAAATCTAGTACTATGTGTCATTTCCCCAAAACCCCCCAATAACCGACCTCTTCAATCCCTTCCTCTTCCCATGGCGTTCAAGTGGTCCGCATATACTATTCAGCCATTACCATTCTTTTATCCTCGGCTTTGGATTGACACCAAACGCTGCAAAATGAAAGAGAGGTATTACTAGTAAATTTGAAAATATTGTGCACGACATATTTGAAATGTCCTTTATACTAAACGTCAAAGTTCGTCCACTTCTTTTGTCAAGGTTTAGTAGAAAATTATTTATTGAATTATTTAATGAACCAAATTACCAAATTCATATAATTGTGAAACACAACATCAAATAACCAGTAGGAGAATTATTTATGGGATTTGTTGAAATTTACTTATGGCAGCTGATAGCACATGATAGCTTCACAATAACAGCCGCTTCCGGGGTACTTACCAGCAATAACTTCCTTCTAATAATAGATATTCGGATAAAAATTAGTTTTCCACCACGATGAAAATGTATCGCGTTTGCCAGTCACACGAGCGCTTGAGTACGAACGATGTTTTTCAAACGCTGAAGCAAGCGATGTTCGAACGTAAACATTGCACTCATGCTGGGGTGCAAGTTCATTTGCCTGAGTGCATGCGTGAACATAGAGTGAACGCTCAGGTAAGTGCAAAAACCTGCTTGCACTTCAGTGCTATGCTGCACCTTGAAGACTGTGTGCTTTATAATCTGGTTATCGTAAAAACTGCAGCACGATTACAGCTCTTATAAAAATTGAAGACGATTTGAAATACTCTTGATAAGAAAATGTTAACCGTGATGGCGCTCTTAGATTTCAGCAAAGCTTTTGATTCAATTGATCATCGGAAACTCTGCAATAAGCTTGCTAATTGTTTTAGAATTGGTCATTCCTCAGTGAATTTAGTCGAATCATAATTGGCTGGCCGATCACAGTATGCTGAATTTAATAACATGCTATCCAATTACGTACATGTACTGAGCTGAGTGGGGTTCATCAGGGATTCATCCTGGGACCCCTCCTTTTTGCTATGTTTATCAATGATATGCCCAATGTTTTATTAAATTGTTTAAATTCAACTTATATGCAGATGACTGTCATCTATACATCTCTGACAAATTGAATAATATTTTTGAAACTATATCATTATTAAATAGTGATATAGAAAATATCTTAAAATGGTGTGAAACTAATGGTCTTATTTTGAACATGGCAACAAAACAAATTTTTATTATTAGATCAAAACGAACTGGTATTCAGAATATCCCTTTAGTTATAGTGGGTGCTGATATCATTATGTATTCTGACACAATTAAAAATCTTGGTATTGTAATGGATTGCAACCTCAACTGGAATGCTCAAGTCAATGCTGTGTGCTGCAAAGTGTAATGTACGCTTCACTCCCTAATTTTGTTACGTCACTCCACGCCTCAACATATCAGACTTCAGCTGGCTAGATCCTTGATCATTCCGTTATTTTTGTACGGGGATATTATGTTTAGCTTAACTTCTAAGACAAATACAAAGAAATTAAACTTGGTTATCAGATACGAGCACGACCTGCGGAAATACGATCACATCTCTAACATTTCTAATTTATTACTCGGGTACGATTTCGTCAACCACATGAAACTTAGAATGAGTATTCAAACTTTTAAAATTTTAAACGAAAGTCCGATATATCTTCGAAACTTCTTTATTCACTCACAATCTTCTAGGTCAAGTGTTTTAATTATTCCAAGATGCTCAAGCAATAGCGGATGGAGTTGTATTGCCAAAAACGGGTAGGTACCGCCCCTGTTTTTTTTTTTTTGAAAATTGCTGGAAAATCATGGAATTTTGTTTTTTTTTTTCATTGAGTCGACACCCTGTAATAAAGGGTGTCCACGATGAAATTGCCACACACAAAATTGATTCGCAAAATTCGAGTTTTCATCCGATTGCCATCAAATTTTCAGGGATTGAGAAATAACTATTAAACTTCATTTTACCATTTTACTCGTATTTTATTTACAGTCCATACGCAAATGCCCGCACCTTGGCCTTAACCCCGGCCATAAGATTCTGCACAACCTGTTAATCAACCGTTTTTTGCATGTAAACCCATACTTTCTTCAGTTCCTCGACTGTCTTCACTACCTTAGGTCGTTTAAGAAGGTGCTGCTTCATAATCGCCCAGTACTTCTCGATGGGGCGGAGCTCCGGAGTGTTGGGAGGGTTGAACATTTTCGGCACGAAATTGACCTTATTGTCCGCATACCACTTCAGCACGTCCTTGGAGTAGTGGCATGAGGCCAAATCCGACCAGAAGATTGTTGGGACGTTGTGGGCCTTCAGGAGAGGAAGCAGCCGCTTCTGGAGGCACTCTTTTATGTACACCTGTCCGTTCATCGTGTCCTGGGTCACGAAAGGTGCACTCCGCTTCCCGCACGTGCATATGGCTTGCCAAACCAGGAATTTCTTCGCAAATTTGGACATCTTCTGAGTGCGGACATGCTCCGGAACGCTGAACTTATCCTTGACCGTGAAAAACAGGTTGCCGGGGATCTGTTTGAAGTCGGCCTTCACATATGTTTCGTCGTCCATGATGCAGCATTCAACTTTCGTCAGCATGTTGAGGTACAACTTCCTGGCACGGGTTTTGGCGGACTTGTTCTGCTTCTCGTCGCGATTAGGGGCCTTTTGTACCTTGAACGTTCGAAGCCCAGCCTTAGTTTTGGCCTTCTGGACAAAACTTCGGCTTAGGTGCAACTTCTTAGCCACATCCCTAACGGAGGCGTTCGGATTTCGGTTGAAGGCCCCAACTACGCGGTTGTGATTTTTGGTGTTGTACGGAATACTGTTTCCTTCACTTCTGGGCTTCCGATCGGTGGTCAACCGTTCCTCGAACCGCTTAATCACTCGCGACACCGTGGAATTCGCGATTCCCAACGTTTTAGCGATGGAACGATGCGAGAGATCCTTGTTCTTGTGATGAATGCGCAAGATTTTATCACGCACGAGCTGTTCTTTCGACTCCATTTCTGCGAGTTTTGATCACAGGACTTTAAAACTTGCAGGATGTAAATAATGCACTATGAACTAAATCCACCCAAATTTTCATTAAATTCTACCATACGGTTAAAAAGTTAGAGCAATTTCATAGTGTGGCAATTTCATCGTGGACACCCTTTATAAAAGTGAAGCGCCTCTATCAGCGTAGTTCCCAATTAAACCTGAATAGAATGGCACAGGCTTGTTGGTCTAAACCAATACCATAATTTTGTTGAAAACAGTACAGCTTTATATATTGAAACACATGAGATAATCCGTCACAGCCACTATAAGTGAACGTCCCATAAGCTGTAGGTATCCTTATTCGCAATTATTCATTCCGCTTATAACCGGGAATAAGGATTCCTGACTGTAATTCTGCTTTATCCGATCGTAAGTGATAGCGAATCCTGATCTAAAAATAACCCACCTCACTTACACAACTATTCTTCCCGTGATAGCCGTGGAGATGTAAAGGTGTATTTGGTCCCTCTCCCAAAATACCGTGAGGACGTGGTTTGTGCTCTTATTGATCTTATAAGTACAGTGGTGGCCTTAATTAGCACGATAGGTCGATTTTCATACAAACTAGCCAACTTTGGCATGTTGCAGCTATCTTTTGTTATGATCAATTGAGCTGACATCAAGGTTACAATTACTCATTTCAGCTAAAATAATGTTTTTCGGAATAATAAAACCAAAAGATGGTATGATGGCATGATTTACTTGTAACTTACAAGAAGAGGTTACAAAGTATGCGATTGAAACATAAAACCTGTAAATTTTGCTTTCTATGAGTTACAATCAGCGATTTGCTGATCGCTGAGTGAGTGAGTGAGTGTGTGAAAAATCGCTGATTGTGACTCTCATGAAGTGAAATAAACAGGTTTAATATGTCAAACACATTCTTTGCAACCTCTTCTTGTATCTTACCAATTCAAAATATGATCACAGCATCTAATTATTTCATAATTAAAAAAAAAAAACATTGTTTTAGCTGAAATGAGTATTTGCAACCTTGGCTGAAATTTTTTTTTTTTATTATAGTCATTCGTGACTTGTACGGGGGTGAGATTTGAACTCGTGACTTTGGCGTGAGAGGTATGGATGTTAACCACTACGCCGGGGTCGCCCCTACCTTGGCTGAAATTGTGACACAGAACTACAAATATGCTGAATTTTGCGTGTACGTAATATCAAATTATTGGAAGCGCTTACCGGAAATTGACGGGCTGGTTGAAAATGGCCAACTTATTAGCACATTTATAATTATTTACGATATACCTAGCCAACAATTTCCGAAATAATAAACTTCGGAAATTTCGAATTATAAATGTGCTAATTAGTTGACCATTTTCAACCCGCCCGTCAATTTCCGGCAAGCGCTTCCAATAATTTGATATTTCGTACTAACAAAATTCAGCATATTTGTAGTTCTGTGTCAAAATTTCAGCCAAGGTGGGGTCATAACAAAACATAGTTGCAACATGCCAAAGTTGACTAGTTTGTATGAAAATTAGCCTATTGTGCTAATTTGAAGGCCACCACTGTGGATTGAATTAGTGCGTGTTTGTATCTACATTCCAGATGGAAAGCTAATCCCATGCACCATCTTATATTGTTCTCTGTACTATTACACTAGTTCTGATCAATCACGCAGGAGCAAATTAACTTTAAAGGGCCAGTGCAGTATGAGATCGCAACCAAATTACCTCAAATTTTGGAAAAATGATGAGGATCTGATTTAGAATCGAATGAGCGAGGTGAAAATCGATATTAAGAACCACCCTATTACACAATTCATCTCTAGCGTTCCGAATCATAAGGGTCTAACGGCGATGATCGATTCTCTTCATCGATTTTCTCTTCACATTACCACAGTTCAGTGAACCATTTTTCCAATACAATATAGTGAAAGGTTGTATTAGCTAGCAAAAACAACATCAAAGACACCGATACATGTGAATCCAACCGAGTTATTAACAAATGAGAAAATCGATGACGAGAATCGATCAACGAAGTTAGGCCCTTATGATTCTGAACGTTTGATCTATGAAGCTTTCCCTCCATCCAATCCCAGTGAGTTCTGACTGCACTCAACTGGTGACAAAGCGTAAGAGAGCTCAGAGAAAATGTCAAATTCATCACGCTCTGTATGGTTCAGTCGGGCTCAAACGGTCATGTCAAGCAGATCAGCATTTTTTTTCCTCAGCCGGAATAGTTTGATAAAATTAAATCTGTAGTTTCAGAATTTCAATCAAGAACCTCACCACGTAGAAGAAACGCACCCAATTTGCTATAGATATTGAACCTCCGGATAATCGAACCAAAGGTGATATAAAGCATTAGTCAGTGCCGGATAAAGTAGCAAAACAAGGAATCATGTGATGCATTCAAATGTTTATTTGTATCCACTACCCTATATATGTTATTTCACTCATCTGGTGGTGCGTACACAATTGGATTTCGTAACAGCGATTGATAAGAAGTTTCAAGCCTGGTTCACAAAATCTCACCGGCTGAATGGCTTGTTTTGCTCATCTTCCTAATGAGGTTTGATTTTTAGTGGCCTAATTTGCGATAATAATTGAAAAAAAAAACTTTATTGCAGGTCCTCGAAAACGTGTTTCAGTATCTAGATTTCAAGAATCGTAAGAACCTTTCCTTAGTTTGTAGTCGATGGAATTACGTTCTGTTGTCGGAACGATATCTGAGAAAGCATGCTATCTTGCATATTGAGGGTTGTCGCGTGCTGGACGGAAAGACACAATTCAGAAGGGAATATGAAGCCTTATCGATTAAGTTGAATCGACAGTATTGCAATGAAATGGCGAAAAACCTTAGGTTGATTTATACCATTTGTGCGAGTCCTGTGTATCTAAGGGTAGAAAATTTGTGTACAGATCAAAGGTTTGGATTGATTTTTGATACAGTTTACTTCAGTCATGAAAATATAGAAAATTTACATTTGATAGGAACATGTAAGACGGAAAAAGGTTTCTTATGCAGTACCTTAAACAATCTTAAGGTGCTGAAAGTAGAATCTAATTACGTTGAATATTTTAGGTTGATTGCGCCAAACTTGGTCGAATTATATTTATATGTATGCTCAGAAGAACACATGGATCTACTACCCCAATTCGCCGACCAATTGAAGAAACTAGATATAGTATTTGATAGCAAAGATATTTATTACTTATACAACTTAAAATTTCCCCATATAACCGATCTGTCGGTTGATAGAAAATTGAAAGGAATGACCAAAAGTGAACAGGACATCAGCATCGCCTTCTATAAGCGATTTAAACAGCTTCAGAAGTTGAAGCTATCTGTAAAGTTCATCGACAGTTACGTAATGCAAATGATTTCAACGAGCATATCAAATTTGACCGAACTGACTTTGCAAGTAATCGAAGGAACGATCGAACTATCGAACATAAGTAAACTGGTGAACTTGGAGAAGTTGACCATCGAAGCAGAGAAAGTAAACCTTCTAGATGCCAAATTTCCACGCTTGAAGCAGTTGCTTCTTGGTTCTGCGAATTTTCGTACCGGTACTTATGTGTATGCCTTCGAAAGCCTTATGGTTTTTAATAAAATGCGAGTGCTTGCTCTACACAACGTCAAGTTCTATCCTGAAGTACTCAAACTAACCCCGTCGTATAATGTTGAAAAATTGTTTATAACGAATTTCAAAAGGGTAAGCTCCTCTAATGTCCTGCTCTTAGCACTCACTAACCCAGATATTAATCATTTCAGTTAGAAGAAACGCATTTGCAGATTCTTATCAAACGATTTCCCGCTATAAGGTGGCTCAAAATAGCGCATTGTCCTGGTTTCACGCAGCGCGAAGTTGAAAAAATCAAACGAATGAATCCCAAGATGTGCGTTGCTTTCGATGAAGTTTCCCAAGGACGTCTGTGATAAAAAAAAACCAATTCCAATATTGAAATGTGTCTGTGTTATATTATGTTTAGACTTTATTGCATAGATTTAATCTTTTGTTGTTTGTAGCAATTTTTAAGTATCACTGCCTGTATTGAAGCTTTAAGTATTCGAGCACCAGTTACACTGTCTACTATCGCTATTCGAGATAATTTATTTAAATACTGAGAAAGGAACACAGTTTTCAATCACTGCTGGTAAGCGGTCAACGCTAGAAATACTTGTTCGAGTGAGGTTTGACCTAGAGCATAGTCTTCGATCTCGAAGCGAGACTTGGCTTGCTCCATCAAGCCAAACATTGTAGACCATTTCAATGAAGTTTTCGTTATGTGATACGTGAGATAGTCCAAATACTGCTCTCTGAAAGTAATAGAAATAATCTTCTTGTCATATCGAAATTTTGAGTAGACTCAAATGCTTACCTCAGCCGAGCTCCGTCAAAATTGCTGTCAATATATTGCATGACTAGATTAGTTTTGTTCTCCATTTCTTCATTTTGACATTTTTTAAGTTTGATCGTCAGGAAGAATCCTTCCGTAAATTTGTTCTTCAGGTGCTGCGCAGAGCCAAGGCACTTGAATTCCCCGTTCACCATAATGGCAATACGCGTGCACAGTGCTTCACATTCCTCCATACTGTGCGATGTCAGCATTATCGCTTTCCCCATCATTCGTATCCGGCAAATAACGTTCCAGAAGTTTCGTTTAGCTCCCGGATCCATTCCCGTTGTCGGTTCGTCCAAATAGATTATCAATGGGTTTCCTATCAATGCTAAGGCAGTGCTCAATTTTCGCTTGTTTCCTCCACTGTACGTTTTTATTTGTTTATCAAGATGCTTCGAAAAATTTAGATCATTCGCTAATTTCACTGAAATCGGTTTTATACAGCTATTCGGTACACCTCTCAAAAGACCGAAAATTTTCAACGTTTCACGTCCGGTCAAATCTTCGAGTAACGCATCAAATTGTGGACAGTATCCGATCTTGGGGTTGACTTCGTTCATTCTCGTTCGCATACTTATTCCCCGAATCCAGGCGTCGCCGGATGAAATCTTTTCGTCCCCTGTTAGCATCTTGAAGGTCGAGGTCTTCCCCGCACCATTCACACCCAATAAACCAAAGCATTCGAAATCGTCCACCGTTAGGGTAAGTTCATTCACAGCCTGAAATGATCCGTAGTATTTTGATACGTCCTTCATCGCCAAAGTATGGTCGGTGAGAACAGCTCCTTGCATCGATGCTATCCGTTGTTTTTCTTCGTTTACGTCGGTATCTTCGTTGATTGCTACAGTTTCTTTAGATTCCGTAACGGCTGAAATCGGTGCACTCCCCCATGGTTTTTGACATTTGATGTTACAATCAAAGTATCTCAATTCTTTCAACAGTAGAATAGTGAATGAAACTATTCCAACCGCCAACATATACACCAGATTACGGCTTATTCCATTGGGTTGGAAAGAGAAGATTTCAGTGTCTGTAATGGCAGTAAAGGAATGTTGAATCGTTGATCTTTTTGAATGAGTCTCCATCAAAACTTACCGCAGCACCGTTTGTCAAAGTTGCAGAGAAGTTTGTCAGTGCAGAATGGCAATGCATCACATTGTGCTTCGCAGATCTGCTGTATCGTTAAGGCTAGATTTATGTTGTTCAAACTATGACTCAGAGCAAAATGCGGGAATATCATGTAGAACCATTCCAAGGTTTCTGCAACATCTTTCAGATTGAATTCACTGTACTTTAAAAGAAATATACCCGTAAAAATTACTGTTCCCGTAAAGATGTTAAATATCAACATCTTGATGAATCCAGTTGATGGTACTTGAAAAAAGTACGACCATAAATACGTGAACGGAATAACGGCTATTCCGAAGCATAGCATGACAACTACGACACGTGAAAGTTCTGCTGGCGTTGACCAACCTTCCTCCTGGAAAGCCGCTAGGGTCAGAATGTACAGTATCATCGCTAAAATGAATACTAAATAATCCCAAAGAAATGACACGGTCCAGAAGGTTATGGCATTGACTCCACTCACAAACTGTAGCAACTTAGCTCCGGATGACCTTTCCTTGATATAGAACATTATATACATGGCACCTACGAATGCCATTGCAAATCCTGTATTGAAAGCCAGTTGGAATCCCATGTTGCTACCGGCTTGAAGTCTCAAGAATCTGACTCGAGAACTATAAGGCAAAGGTTTGTTGACGACGTCCAGTGAACAGTTAGGGCAGAATGTTCTCAGTATCGCATTGTAGATCAAGTTCAGAGACAATGGAGCCGTGTGGTAGGCCTTATTATTGAACCAAGCAGTGAAGTTCTGTTCATTCTCGTTCAATGCTGCCCCAACCATGAAGGTGTTGTCCACTTTTTTGATATTCTCTATCGACTGAAAAAAAATCTCTTCGTTAGCATATAAGCGAGACATATCAATAATCAATACACACCTTGTTCAAAATAAACTCCGAGAAAGAGCTTGATATTGTCACGAGTTCATTTGTTGGAGAAATTTCTGCAAATAACTCCGCATAGCTTCTCGCCACTGTTGCATTTGGATTGGCAGTTTCCAGAACCGTTACAGTCTTTGCGTATGAATCAAACGATATATTCAGCGGAGGTAGAACAACGTTATTAGGGAATGAACGCACAATTATTATTATAACAATGATGTAGAACATGGACAACGTGGTTTGTAACAACGAAATTTTCCAGGCCCTGAGGTAGCTGAGGTATTTTTTTATGATCATAGATTTGATTTGATTAAAGGTCAATAGTTTCCCTGTGACAAGTGTGTAATGATCCTCGTGCTGTTCTGATTCGGGGTGTTTCAATCCGTTTGATTGCAAAAGGTGACCATTTGTTTCATCCGTCTTTTCAGTTGAATTCTCATCGCTTCCAAGCCTACAAAGAGGTTGGGATTTCAATAATGATTCACTTTCAAAGGGTCATACAAACTTACCTCATAAACACTTCTTCCAATGTGGACAAAGTAATGCCATAACTTGATATTCCACAATGATGTGTGTTTTCCTCTAAGTCAGCCAACAGCTGCTGAAAAACGTGGAGATACTCTTGTCTCAAAACGTAACTGAGCTCTGTACCAATATCCGTTTCTACTTCTATGCCAGGGATATACTTTTTCAGTAGACCGGTAAGTGTCGAAGGATTACAACCCGACTTTTTCACACAAATCAAGCGGTACCCTTGTCCAAATTTTTTCTTCAGAAAGAACGGTGATCCAACGGCCTTCAGATCTCCTTCAGCCATTATCGCCACTCGATCGCCAAGGATGTCCGCTTCATCCATAAAGTGTGTTGACAGCAGTATAGTCCGTCCAATTTTCTCCTGTTGCAGTAGGTTCCAGAGCACTCGGCGGGCTGCAGGATCCATTCCTGAGGTGGGTTCATCGCACAGCACAACTTTTGATCCCCCACATAATGCAATAGCAATCGATAGCTTCCGTTTCATTCCACCAGACAAGGTTTGCGATTGAGCGTTCCGTTTATCTTCCAACTCCAGAAGCATCAGGTACTTGTCGATTTCATTAGAGATTTGATTCTCTTCAAGACCCTTTAACTTGGAAAAGAACCGAATGTGTTCAGCTACCGTCAATTCATCGAACAGAACATTGTGCTGGGGACACAAACCCAATGAATTTCTGAGACTTTCAATATCGTATCGAATATCGGATCCATTGACAATGGCCGTACCAGACGTTGGTGGAAACAAACCAGTCAACATCGACATTGTGGTCGTCTTTCCAGCTCCGTTGTGGCCTAACAGTACGGATATTTGGTCTTCATATAAATTCAACGACAAGTCGTTGACCGCAACTTTTGAGCCTTTGTAAATTTTTGTCAACCCCAGTATTTTAATTCCAGCATGTTTTTCGGTTGGTTCTTTTTCCTCGTTATTCGTCCTATCCTTCCTGAGATATTCCCTGTCTAACGTATTCATCTGTGGATCATAAGCTTGGCGTGTGATCCAGAAATCTTTTGTGAATAAGAAATTCCACTTCTTGGGAATTCCAAACTCCCCTGGAGCTATTTGCTCAACGTAAAGCGCAACCAGTAAATAGAATAAGGCATCTATAATCAACATCATTATTATATGAGCAACAGTTAACTGATCATCCACGGTAACCGATGAGAACAGGTTAGACCACTGGAGGCCTATTGATGTTCCTTCGTGCTTCATTAGAAGCATGAATCCGTAACCCATTGCCGTGTTGCACCATAGACTGGAAGCCAGCTTTGCTCCCAGCGACATTCGATCGTAGTTTCCGAATGTAATGTTGTACGGCGTTAACGAATAGAACCAGATGATACCAGAAACTCCGGATGCAATGTTTGCTAAAAAGAGATTCAAAATAAATTTATTCACAAGTATAAACAAGTTGCACTTAACACTATTGTACCTTTCGAGAAAAATGTACTCAGCATGAAGCAAAATGTGATGGTTGTAATACTGTATATGAACAAGAATATCCAGATCAGCAGCCAGTTCGAAAATTCAAATATCGCGATATCCGTGTTTGTTGTAAGGCTCACGCACAGCAGGATGGTAATGAGAGAAATCGAGATCGATAGTAGGATAAGTGTCTTCACGAACCATGCCATCCAATGAAGCCAACCGCTGAGACCCATAATTTTCATAGATTCTTTAAGCTGTCGTTCTTTCTCCAAGGTTATAAATTTGACGGTGTTTATACAGGAGTAGAAAAATGCAATCATTATGATAGCAGGGAAAAGATTTTCAAGGCCTCTCAGTAATGGATCGTTGTAGAATGGTGGATAGGGGAATCGCTGGAAAATACGAAAATGTTTCAATATCGAAGTATGTAGTGAAATTGCACCGATAGACTCACCTGCAATGCAACAGTGGGCAGTTGATGCGTGTCATTTTTCATACCCAGTAGAGATCTTGAAATTGCATTTTGCACAGATGCAAATCCCTCAGCGTAGTAGTTTGCAGGATAACCACCATCAGTGTAGTTGACAGCTCGAGCACCATAAGTTTGAAATGGTGGAAATACTAGAAATGTGCGCCAATTTGCCCAGAATTCCGCTCCCGGGAGTACAGTGGTACGCATTTCACTTGGATAGCGTAGGGCGATCGATAAGTTATCCGGTAATTCTGAAATGTTCTGATATAAACATATTTAGACCTACCAACTTTATGATTTATGTCACTTGCATTACCTTAAGATGATCCCCAAATTCAATACCAGCTAGATAGTTGCTGGTTATCAACACATTGTTCATACTTTTCGTATCATTGAAACCTTTTATTCGAACATCTGTGCCAAGAGACCTTGCCGCCTTTTTCACCACTTGTTCAAATATTAGATTTTTCGGAGTAAATGCAAGCGTCAACTCAATGGGGTGATTTGTTATCATGGTTCTAAAAATGTAAAACTCTAGATCAACCTATTTCTCGTAACTCACTCCTACTACATACCGTATGCTAGCAATGCTGCTAACATTAAGGCTACTGAACGTGGTGGGTTTGCTGTAGGTGGATGGATTCACGAGTCCTCGGACCAAAATCAGCAACGAACAAGCCAGCACCGGAATGGTGATTTCGAAAATAGTCTGCACATAATGTCTCTTTTGGATGATCCAATTCTTCCACAGCAGCAGCTTGAACTTTTCCCAATCACTTGTTGTCATCCTGAACAGTATTAGGCTGCATCAACTGGACAACGGTGGTTTGCAAATGAAGCTGCGACAGCTTTGTCCGCAATAAACTAGGCTACCGAATAGGAATAGTGCAGCATAAAGAAAATTCCAATATAATTGCTTCTTGTCGATAATTGTGTTTTTTCCTTGGTCTCGCAATGTCAAGTCATGCAATGTGCAGAAAATGTTATCCAATAAAGGTCACTGGTGCTTTTTTTTTTATCTGCAATGAGAACAACGAAATCAAGCCTCAACATTTCTAACTTTTTCCTAAATTTCAATAAAATTTTAGTCGAATAATGACTCACTCGATGCTGGTTGTCATTTTTGCTGTCTACCACACTACAGCACCCAGTCTGGCGAACCGCGCTACGGTGGGAACTAGTGAATCACAAACAAACCACCAACAGAACACTGAACTATGCGGCATCAGTATTCCACCGATTGAGGAAGAACACATAAGATTTACTTGCGTTACGACATGCACAACCTCGGATTTTCCAACACTAGTGTGGTTCATGACGTCAAAAAGTAACGCCACTAATGTATATGTATCATGCGTATCATTTATTTAGTCATACTAATGCTTATGTTTACGTTTCCTATACGAAACACAGGCTCAGTCCAAAGCACGTGTCACGACTCTGTATTAGTGAGGCGTGATCATGCGCGTCAAGTCTATCGATTTGCCGGTAAGGAACGATCTCATTCATTAGGTCGTTTGGCCACGGATGTAATAAAGTGACATTATTTTACTTATCACAATCAATCAAACTCGTAATATGTTTTTAGAATAAGTTTTCCTTCAAGGACAACTACAAGACCTTGACCCATGAACACCACTCCCACACAATGCAAGTGCTTGTAAGATTGTTATGTATTTACAAATGCAAAAACAGCTGATTCTCGTCATGCACACTTTTGCAGCTTGCAGCTGATTCAATGCGTATGATGCAATGTATAAAGATTAAGTTTATAGTGATATTGTTGAACCCCTCAGTTGAAGAGCTGTGAAACTGGTGTTGTTTTTTGTATAGGGTAGGCACTCCTAGGCACAAATTTGCTAACACGATACATTAAGCCACAAAGAGACGACATTTTCCGTTGGACGTGTTCTACATGATCACCCCAAGAGAGCGTAGGATCTAACACCAAACCTAAGTGTTTGAAACTGGATACTTTTTCTATTACTTTAGATCCAATTGACATACTATTGTGCGGAAGATTTTTTTCCTTGGTGAGTGGACAACCACATATACCTATAGCCTTGGATAAGTTTAACGAAAGTATGCCAAAAACTGTTTTTCATCGCTTTTTTATCTGGTATGAAAATATTATTTGAATTCATGTTTAGGGTAAATGTTCCTATAGTTGTGGTATTTTAGAAGCGTTAGGTTCCTATAGTTTGTTTATTGAGTCTCCATGCACAACTATAAGAACCTAACGCTTCTAACGTACCGCAACCATAGGAGCGTTTCCCCTACTAGAAGCAATTTTGAATTCAATGATGGTCACATATCCAAGATCTGTTGCGAAACAGCCGAAATCTGGTCATATCCTTGAAATCGGTTCTGGTAAAGTGACCAGAATGTTAATCTTTTGAAAGACGTCAATACCCTTAATCTTCATGATTTTTCAGCGCGATGTCTCCAGAATTGTTTTCAGCATCATAAATTGCGATAGCCATCCTGGGGCAAGCCATTGTCAATGGTAGCTTTTTCAGGTCCACAGCTGATCTCCGTACAAACTTATGTGACCGCTCCAAATCACCTGGAACAGATTCCACCATGCCATGAAATGGCCGAATTCCAGCAGAAACCTGGCTCATTCGTCCCTACCGAATAATTAAAATTGTATTCGAAGTTTCATAGAATTTTGATAGTTAAAATCTGGAAATCGTTTATTTTTTCACTGTTTGGCGTGGAATGCTCCACTGCAGCATTCACGATGATCGAGGAACACAATAATTAGGAAGTTTATGTGTACCGTGAGGCACCCTAAATCCAATCAGTGCCTAACTCCGTTCACGTGGGTCAAAGCGTTGAATATCAAGCCGATTTGTCGTGAAACATCAGTAAAACTATGTAACTTGGTGCTCACACTACCACTGCGTTGTGAGAAAATTCCTAAATGGTCTGAACAGAGCATCCAGAACGTCTTTACTGCCGGTAGTCGCAATTCAGTCCCATTTGCATTTTTATCAATTTTGAGTTAGCATCATTATTCAATTTATCTTTGGTGGGCGTTGGCCAGATTTGGATTTTTCAGATATAATCCTAATTGGGACCTATATTATTAAATACTCTAGTAACCTCAAGTCCGTGCTCTGTCACAATGTTTCACTGTGATTAATCAACACTCAAATGGGTAAAATATCAAATTTGGAGCGAATTTGAAAGAAAGGGAGTGTAGAGCGCACTGTCCACTGGACGATTCTGAAACCTGGCCAAGTGAGCGGGGTATGGGTTTATTTGATTGAACGTCATTTCCAATTTATATATTGATACATTCAAACCATTGGCATTTGGTATTTCAGATAAGACAGAGATAGGATGCGGAGGGCCCGCTTAGGAGGAGCGTAACCCATGTTATGGTTTCCATTTATTAAATAGTTCAGATAGGCTAGAAATGACAGGTTTATAGTGAGAGAATGTACCATATTGGGAAAGCATAATGTTCATACTTGAAGGGTTCAGAGCGGCTGAGCTGTTCGGTTGTAGTTTGACCTTCCTTCAAAACCAATTTGGCTCTAGAACAACTTTAAACTTCTTCTGCATTATTCACATGTTGCAATTATTGAAAAAAAAACTCTATATAAAGTAGCTTTATACAATTAAATAGAAATGCCAAAATCTTACCGAGCAAATGCGGTTCTGATTACGGTTCAGTTTGTTGAGATTGGGTATTTTTTTTTTTTTTTACTTTATTATAGAGATTTTTAGCCATAGGCTAGTTCATCTCTTATATGAGATTGGGTATAGTTTCTGAGAATGGATTCCCATTTTGAAATAACTCAGATTAGCACAGAGTAATAGTTTTATTGCTAGGGAACTTTCTTTTGGGATCGTCTTTTTTCATACAATTCTCATTATTCATACTATATTAATCATGATCAGTCTTAGAAAATGTGATATGTTTGAGGTTTAACAGAAATCGGTAAATTGTATGGGGAGGATGCTCATTGAAGCTTCCGGCCCGCTAAAACAATGAGTCTTAAAGCAACGGAATCACCAAGTGGCACGGAATGACTATGTTGCATGACTTTGCAATTGGGGAAGGGGGGGGGGGGGGCTAATATGTCATTTGTTTTTGTATAATTTCAGGTGTTAATATACTGTACGGTTCAAACAATTATGGAACGGCCAATGTTTAGTGCCAGGTATCGGTATACCGTACGGATCAGCCATAGCGATGGACCTAGGAGGCAACAAATATTTTCGTTCTTTATTTTCTTTTCTTTCAGCTAATTGATATCTCTCCATCTCTTTCTATCCCTATTTAATGTATCGGTGTACTAGTGGACATTTTGCGCCAGCTAGCTACGATTGCGGCATACTATACCGTCTGGCATGTTTTAACGGTTAGGCTTGGTAGGTCCTCACCTAACACGATGGGTTGGCAGTGAGGATTGGGTGAGGGCTGATAAATTACAATTACTATTACATCATTATTCAGCTTATCTTTCTATGTTTTTTGAGATGTGCTATTGAAAAAAGGTGGTTTGTTCAAGAAAAATGAAAACCAATACCAAGTCAAATTGTCCCACAGCGAAAAGTAACCGCAAGTCAGTCCTATTAGAAAAAAATATGTCAGAAATGTTAGACAACACATCGCATCATGAGATTTGTCTCAAGATAGATTTTGTCCACTTTCCTTAGGGTATATGGTACATGTCCGGATGAGGCCAATATAGTTCTTACGATACTCAGTTTGACCGCCAATGGATATAGCTTTGAATTCTCATGTGATTTGATGTATCGCTTGAAGGATTTTGATTTGAAAGGGATTTACCACTTCCCCGGGGATACCCGGAACAAGTCCGGGTGTGGCCTACATGGTGCTGGTCACTCATCATGGCTCTTATTGATCTTATTTTTGAATTCTCATGTGAATTGATTTATCGCAAGGTGGGTTTGGCACGTTTATGAAAAGCTCTGGTTTGATGAAGACCCATACTCACCGGAATATGTTCCGGCCATTGCTCTGGAACCAGTGGAACAAATCCAGAAACATTCAATAACTTCTATGGAACCATGGTATCTTTCTACTGTTCAATACTGTGCTAAACTAATGCAGCATCGTCATGGAATTGTGACTGACCTGCGGTTATTTTTCTCGTTGACGTTAAATGTAATCGCAAGTCAGTCCCACTCAGATTTTGGCCATAAAATAAAAATTTCACGATGTTTTTCCAATATTTTTGGGTTAACATAGATGCATTCTATCACATAGTAGGTTTATTTTTAAATTTATTCCTCCAAAATAAGTGTCAAATCTGAAAACTTGTAAAATCTTTGAACGCCGTTGTCTCATTTCCAGTTTTTTACAGATGGGACTGACTTGCGATTATGGGCAGTTTAGCTCCAAAAAAACTTTATCATGAACGAAAATTTTCTAGGTTATCAGGGTTTAGAAGTACACACAACATTATCAAGCACACTGATCAGTTTTTTTACGACGAATTTTGGAATCACACGTTTTTTTTAAACCTTTTTACCCTTCTTACAAAGAAGGGTATAGATATCACTTGAAAAACCGACTATCGATCCGAGGCCCGGAGGGCCGAGTGTCATATACCATTCGACTCAGCTCGACGAGATCGGAACATGTCTGTGTGTGTGTGCGTGTATGTGTGTATGTGTGTGTGTATGTAACGAAATGAATGCGCTCACGTTTCTCAGCAACCGCTCAACCGATTTGGACAAACTCGGCGCCAAATGATAGGTCTTGGGGTCCCATTGAACACTATTGAACGGTTTTGGAATCGGTGAACCGGTTCCGGAGATATGGCCGGAATAAGATCCGGTGAATATGGGCCTTCACGCTGGATTTAACGGAAAACGTATCAAAACCATCATATACCATTCGACTCAGCTCGACGAGATCGGAACATGTCTGTGTGTGTGTATGTGTGTATGTGTGTGTGTATGTAACGAAATGAATGCGCTCACGTTTATCAGCAACCGCTCAACCGATTTGGACAAACTCGGCGCCAAATGATAGGTCTTGGGGTCCCATTGAACACTATTGAACGGTTTTGGAATCGGTGAACCGGTTCCGGAGATATGGCCGGAATAAGATCCGGTGAATATGGGCCTTCACGCTGGATTTAACGGAAAACGTATCAAAACCATCATATACCATTCGACTCAGCTCGACGAGATTGGAACATGTCTGTGTGTGTGTGTGTGTGTGTGTGTGTGTGTGTGTGTGTGTGTGTGTGTGTGTGTGTGTGTGTGTGTGTGTGTGTGTGTGTGTGTGTGTGTACGTGTGTATGTGTGTATGTGTGTGTGTGTATGTAACGAAATGAATGCGCTCACGTTTCTCAGCAACCGCTCAACCGATTTGGACAAACTCGGCTCCAAATGATAGGTTTTGGGGTCCCATTGAACGTTATTGAACGGTTTTGGAATCGGTGAACCGGTTCCGGACCGGACCGGTTCGGAATAAGATCCGGTGAATATGGGCCTTCACGCTGGATTTAACGGAAAACGTATTAAAACCATCATGCGACACATCAAATTACTACAGAATTAAAAAATAAGATCAATGCAAGTCGTGTTAAGTGTTCCAGTCCACATTGGACACACTTGAACATGTTCCGGGTACCCCGGGGAAGTTGCTTGAATATAAATTGAATTAAAACCCATTAAATCACATTAAAATACGATGATAAGGTGATTGGTAGCCTCACCAAATAGACTACACCCGGATATATTCCGGGTACCCCCAGGCAGTGGCGTAGCGTCACTGGATGACACGGGGATGGGGGGCTTGGTCACTGATAATGACAATAAAATAAATAAACTTGAATAAGTAAGAAGGGTCTGATCACACCATAGGTGGATAAATTCGGGTTTTTTATAATTAAAGCGGTTTTTACACGTTTTTTTTTTTAATAACGTGGTTTTTAGCACGTTTTTTTACACGGTACGTATCCCCCTTGTAAAAAATGGCCGAGTGTATAGCAATTTGGTTCACCAAAGCACAAATCCAACCGCCAGATTAACATTTACAAGGATATTCCCAACCAGGGAAGTGACGAAATATCACACACGAAAAAAAAATAGCTCGGTATTCGAACCCAAAACCCTTAGTAAACTTTCAGCAACATCAGAATCTTGAAAAAATTCCCGACAATTAGACAGACAAGCCCAGTGCCGGGCTTGGGAACAGTAGAGGGTTGATAAATCTCAACCATATGGATACTAGTTTGCATAATTTTATCTTAAAATTATACTTACATTGTGCCGAAAGATTTTTTTTTATTTGGTTCTCCGGTTCTAACCACATCGGAACATGTTCCGATTGCCCCCAGGGAATTGTCAAATTTTTGACATGGGCCATAACCCATTTAAACATAAATTTAAAATCAAGAGCAATGGTAGTCGCATTAAATCCCTGCTAAACCACTTGGCTACAACTGGATAAGTTTCGGATGCCTCCGTGGAAGTGGGCCAAAATTCAAAGCAAACGAACATTTAGTATCGTGATCATTGATGACCAAATTGAGTTCCCAGGTACACATTATTGGCACAAGGACATACTATGAATACTCCTGGCCATAAACTAGCGTTATGTTGAAAGCAATTTCTTTAGTTTTGAATTCTCATATGTTTTAAAGTGTCGCATGATAAGTTTTGGTAGAAGTCAGAAAATAAACACTTTTTTTGGGAAACCCGGAACATATACAGGTGTGGCCAATGCCTCAATGCGACCTTCTCCGATTTGCATGAAACTTTGCATAATTGGTCAATCATTCACTTTTCATTTTTCAATTCGGCCTTTTTGTATCTCAAAAAAAAAAAGAATCTAATAACGTCACTTCCAATCCAAATAACGTCTGAGACAATGTTTTACGAAAAATAATTCCTTTTCTAAAAAATATACACGGTAAAAAATTTCAAGTAATTTTGGGTAACAAATCCAAAAAAGTGCTTAACTTAACAAAAAAACCCTGTTTAATATTTTTTAATTTTGTTTTATTAAATGCTTATAAAAAATACTATTTTCTGTGAAATTTTCAAGTTGGACACAAAAATTTGCAAAAATCATAAAACAACAGCTTTTGGTAAAATTTCTGAACTCGGTCTGAAATCAAGTTTTTTTGTTGTTGTTTGGATTTCCAGGCCTCCTAATGAGTTTAGTTCTGAGTTTTAATATGATTTGATGTGTCGCAGGATGGATTTAGTCCCAAATTAGAAAGGAACCACAGATTGGTAAAGGCACAGCTATAAATCATGACCATGATGGAGGAGGCGGGCCCAAATCCTAGTTTGTTCCCTTGGCATTAGAGTGATGCAAAATTTGAAATTTTCGCTCCAAAATACTTTAACGATTCCAAATCGATACCTGCCTAACCTCTCAAAATTTTAACCCATTTGGTGAGAAACTGAGATGGCACAAACCATTTGAAGTTTGTATGGGAATTACTATGGTAAAACCAAGATTTTTGTTCATGTCTATCTAATAATTCACCATATCGGTCTGCTTCAAAAGCTTTCAACTATACTTGTAGGAAATTTTCCCAGCTACAACTTTGCTCAAGACCACTTTTTGATGAAATGCAATGATCGAAAGTTATCAATGGTTCAATGCGCTGATGTCTTATGATCATGCTCAATCAACTGTTCAGCAGGCAACATTGGTGTTTCTGGGGCGTTGAATAGGACACAAAAATCATGGCTACTATGTCACACTGCAAAATACAGTGTTGCCTACAGAGCAGCTGCTTGATCATGTCATAAGTTTACCAATCTCTTAAATAATTTATAACTTTTTCCTGTCTCGTTTTACATAGAAACGATCTTCAGCAAAGTTGTAGCTGAGGATTTTCTATTAGAATGGCTATCGAACTTTTTCACAGCTCAATATGGAAAAGACTAGAAGGCAATGAACAAAAAAATGAGATTTCCCATAGTAATTTACATGTAAACTTCAAATGGCTTGTGCGAAGTCTGTTTCTAACCAAATGAGTTGTAACTTTGGAAGGCTAATCAGGACCCGATTTGAAACCATTTAAACACTGTGGAGCGAAAAAGTCAAATTTTGCATCAGTCTACTGAGCATAGAGTATCATTGTACGTGGCATGCAAAGCATAAAACATTCTCAACACAGCAAAAAATTAATTTTAATATCACATCAAAGCATTTAAATCGTGTCCAAAATATGGTATAATATTATTTGCCAAAAAGGACAAAATTATCATTAATTCAGTGCATTAACTGACATTACACTGCTTTTACTGCATTTATTTTTTGACATGGTCATAAATATTACATGAGATTTTCGACATGATTGGATTGCATCGTCTTGAATGTAATATTAAAATTTATTTTTTGCTGTGAACTAACAACTGTGATACTAAAAAAAACTAAGTTTCGGGGATTATTTTACCTAACAAATATATTAACATTAATGTTTTAACAAGATGATGATTACAACTTTTTTGAGTATTGAAAATCTGAAACAGTGAAACATTAGTTAATGGTATGCATTCATATTCCATATCATGGTTTCATTTATTTACTTTTCAACTATGTATTATGATCGATTTACAAAACGTGTCACAGATGTGGATACTGATGGTCAGCACAGCAGTACGTTCAATGAACTATGTCGAGTGCTTTGCATGACATGCATGGATTAAATTTTAATCATTTTAAAAACTAATCAATAAATAAGTGGGGCAAAACCTGACCAATTTAATACTCTATTACCCATTTGACTCTACTTTGTTTACCGGGTGTCAGTCGTCGAGCTGTCGCTGGTATTTGGTAAACGCCAGGAATACCTGCTCTAGCGTAGTTTGCCCCAGTACGTAATCCTCTATTTCCAGTATCCGCTTGGCCGTTTCCATTATTCCGAACATTGTCGACCAGCGAACACTCGTTTTCGGAATTTGATAGGTGATTGATTCGAGATATTCTTCCCTGAAAATATAATCATTTAGGATTTCCAATTACAAACGTATTTATTTAGAGCCGGATAACTCACTTCAGCTCCGCATCCGGAAATTTGTCATTTATGTAGGCTTTGATTTCAGATACTTTCCCGTCTCCAGCATCCGTGACTTTCTTCTTCAATTTGATGGTCAGGTAATAACCGCTAGAGAACTTATTCTTCAAGTGTTGCGTTGCCCCAATGCATTTGAACTCTCCGTTTACCATGATGGCTAGTTTTGTACATAAAGCTTCACATTCTTCCATGCTATGTGAAGTCAAGACTATAGATTTTCCTGCACTTCGTTCTTTGCAAATCACGTCCCATAATTGGCGCTTAGCACCAGGATCCATTCCTGTAGTTGGCTCGTCCAGATAAACTACTGTTGGTCTGCCCAACAAGGCCAAAGCAGTGCTAAGTTTCCTCTTGTTGCCACCGCTGTATTGCTTCGTTCGTTTGTCGATGTGTTTCTTGAAATTTAGCTCTTCGGCTAATTTCATGGATACTGCAGATATTTCATCCCTTGGTACACCTCTTAGCAGTGCAAATATCTTCATTGTTTCTCTACCAGTCAGATCGTCGATCAATGCATCGAATTGGGGGCAGTAGCCAATTTGTTGATGAACCTTGGTCATGTCAGTCTTCAAGTTGATACCACTAACCCATGCATCTCCAGCGGAAATATTCTCATCGCCAGTCATCATTTTGAATGTTGATGTTTTACCTGCACCATTAACTCCTAGCAAACCAAAGCATTGTGAATGTTCTACCGATACGGAGAGCTGATTAACAGCAGGGAATTTTTTATAGTATTTAGTAACATCCCGAAGTACCAAATTGGTTGCACTTATCTCGTTCATGGTCATATTGCTAACCCGTTCTTTTTCGGCGAGCACGTCTGCGTCCATATTGTTTGAGCTTAGTGCTGGTGTTTTTTTCATAGAAGTGAGGTTATCAAATACTTTGTTCAACACTCGATACTCTATGATCATGAGTATAGCGAAACATACGAGTCCAAGTCCGGTCATGAAAAGCAAATTCCGATTGATTCCATTAGGTTCGAATGAAAATATTTCCACACCTACAAGTACAAAGTATAATCGATTACAAACACATAATAATTTTGAACCGTATTCTTACCGCAACAATTTGGAAACTGCTCACAGATGATTTTCTCTGTGCATCCGGGGATAATACTGCACTGTGCTTCGCATATTCTTAAGGTGGTCGATGCAATGTTCATATTACTCAATGCGTGACTCAATGCAAACAATGGGAAAATCATGAAACCCCATTCTAGCCCACGTGCGACGTCTATCAAGTCGAATCCGTCGAATAGCATTAAAAACACCGCCATGAAAAATATTATTCCCGTAAAAATGTTGAGTAGCATTAGCTTAACGAATCCACCAGCCGGAACATCAAACCGGAACGATAGTAGATATGTCAGTGGAAGAAAACCGAATCCAAAGACCATCAAAACTAGAAACACTCGTCCAAGTTCTTCTCCAGTTGACCAACCATCCTCTTGAAAAGCGGCCAGCGTACCGATGTAAAATAGAATTGTTACAACATACGTCATGTAATCCCACAAGAAAGATACCATCCAAAAGGCAAACACGTTTACTCCACTGACGAACTGCAACAATTTTGCCCGAGTCACACGTTCTCTGATGTAGAATAAAACGTACAGGGCTGCAACGAAGGCCATGGCGAATCCTGTATTGAACGCCAACTGAAATCCCATATTGTTGCCGGCTTGTAGTTGAGTAAACTAGATCAAGAACAATGTTAGTGGATTATTTTCTAAGTATTAAACACGAAGGGCACTTACGCGTGTTTCTGGTCTGAAAGACAACGGTTTGTTGGAAATTTCAATCGAACAACGAGGACATGTTGTCCGAAGAAGTGCATTGTAGAACATATTGATGGTCAGCGGAGCCGTGTGGAAACCTTGGGTGTTGAACCATACAGTGACGTTATCGGAGCCGATAGTTGCTCCAATGAGGAATTCGTTCGTTACGAGTGGGGTGTTCTCAATAGTCTGGAAAGAGATATCATTGTTGTCCATGTTTCTTCCTACAACCATCAATGGTGTCTTACCCTTTTCAATATGTAGTCAACCATCGACTCCGTGATTGTCAAAAGCTTGGTATCCTTTCCAAAATCTTGAAACAATTTCTGGTAGGAGTGTACTACATCCAAGTCGTCAGTCGCTGCCTCAAGAACTGTTGTGGTCCTCCTGTAGTCATTGAGTGTCATTTTCAATGTCGGCAACTGAATGCTATCCGGGAATGATCGAACAATAATGATTGTCATGATAACGAAAAATATGGGAATGAATATTTGGACCAACATTGATATCCAACTTCTATATGTAGCGATAAATTTCTTCAAAAACATAGCATGAATTTGATTCATTGTCAAAGATGCGCCAGTCAAAAGTTTTTCACTTTCATCCAAATTAATTGTAACATTAGAACCGGCATTGGCATTTTCGTAAATAAGTTCATTGTTTTCGGATTCTAAATTCTCCGGAGAAAATGAATCGCTTCCTACTTTCAGAAAAACTTCTTCCAAAGTTGTTAGCGAAATTCCATAACTGTCTATGTACAATCGTTCTGAATTCTGTTCCAGTTCTTCCAGCAATGATTGATATACGTTCGTGTAACTTTCCTCCAAAACATAAGAAAGTTCCGTTCCTATGTCCGTATCAATTTGACATCCCGGAATGTATCGCTGTATTAAATCAGTCACATTCTGAGGCGTACAGTTGTCCCCTTTGACACAAATCAAACGATATCCAACGCCAAACTTCTTTTTGAGGAAAAATGACGATCCAACCGCTTTCAGTTCACCATCAGCCATAATGGCAATCCTATCTCCAAGGATATCCGCTTCGTCCATGAAATGCGTTGATAGCAAGATAGTACGTCCCTTCTTTTCCATTATCAACAAATCCCACAATGCACGCCTAGCAGCTGGATCCATACCAGAAGTAGGTTCATCACACAGCACAACTTTTGAACCCCCACACAACGCTACCCCAACTGCCAGTTTTCTCTTCATACCACCGGACAACGTATGCGATTGTGAGTGGATTTTATCTTCCAACTCCAAGATCTTAACGTAATGGGCAATTTCGTTGGCAATATCCTTTCTTTTAACACCTTTCAATCTTGCAAAGAATTCGATGTGCTCGGCAACAGTCATTTCATTGAACAGTACGTTATGCTGAGGACAGAGTCCCAGCGATTGACGAGCGCCATCGATATTGGTACGAATGTCACAGTCGTTTATCAAAGCAGTTCCTGAAGTAGGTGAGAACACTCCTGTAAGCATAGACATCGTTGTCGTTTTTCCTGCTCCATTATGCCCAAGTAATACCGTAATCTGATCGTCGTACATATTCAAATGAAGTCCATTGACGGCAACTTTTTTTTTATCGAAGACCTTTCGAAGTCCTTTGATTTTGATACCTGCATGTTTCCCCGTTGGATCAGGTTCTTTTGTATCCGATTTCTCCACAATACCGTTCACATCATCTGGGATAGTGTCAACTTTGTTTATCCAGAACTTGGCAGTAAATGGAAAGTACCATGGTTGAGCTATCCCAAATTCTCCTGGCAGTACTTTTTCAACGTACAGTGCTATCAGAAGATAGATCACAGAATCGACTAACAACATCATCATGGTAGCTCCCACACTAAGATTGTCATCAACCGTGACCGGACTGAAAAGATTGTACCATTGTATACCGATTGTAGTTCCTTCGTGACGCATCATCAACATGAATCCGAAGGACATTCCTGAGTTATGAAACAGACACAAAGCTAACTTCGCTGCCAGCGACATAGTGTCATAGTTCGAGAATGCTATATTGTATGGCATTACAAATATAAACCACATAAGGCCACCGATTCCAGCAGCGGTGTTTGCTGTAAATAGTTTTGGATGTTTCGTTAGTGCATTTTTATACCACTCATAAATCCATGTTACCTTTTGAGAAGAATGTACTCATCATAAAACAAAACATTATCGTAGTTGTACTGTAGACGAACAGGTACACCCAAACCACGGACCATTCAGCATACGTAAACACTGCCAAATCTGTGTTACTGGTTATGCTGACCTGCACGATAATGCTATTAATAATATGTATCCTTTTCTCACAGGGTATTTTCTGTGTGATCATACTTACGCATAGTAAAACAGTAATCAAGCTGATAGAAACCAATAGTAGGATCATTGACTTCACGTACCAAGCAGTCCAGTGTAGCGAACTTGGAAGTCCCATAATTTTCATTGCCTCTTTTAACTGCCGTTCCTTCTCTACAGCAATATATTTAACAGTGTTGATACATGTGTAGAAAAACGCCACTACGATGATTAATGGAAGCAAATTCTCTAGGCCAAGTAGGAGTGGATCGCTGTAAAATGGTGGGTAGGGATAGCGCTAAAAATTAAAAAAAAAAGTATTACCATTGCATTTGTATTATCCCCTGTTTGAATCATACCCTCAAATAAACGTCAGGCACCACTACGTCAGGATTGTATTCCACCACGATGGCCTGCGATACAGCCCTTTGAATTTGGGCAAAGGTTTCGAAAAAATAATTGGCCGGGTACCCGCCGTCTTCTGATTTTGGATTTCTGAGACCGGGACTGTCGAACGCGGGGAAAAGTCGATTAGTTTGCCAATTGTTCCAGAATTCGGTTCCAACCCGAACGAACGTACGCATTTCTGCTGGGAAGCGTACGAAGAACTCAATGCGTTCCGGTAGGGTTTGTATACTCTGGAATGATAAAATTTAGAGGAATTTTGCACGAAATATTATAAATTGTTGTTTTTCGATTCACTCCGTTTTCTGGATCTTCTACCGATTTTGATCGAAGAATCAGAATAAATTTGTTTGTCATTTTAACGATTGATTGGTTGATTTGATTGGAATGATTAATAATACTTTATGACAAATATATAACCTATAGACTGATTAGACAGCCCAATCTTCCTTTCGATACCTATTGCCTGATCATTACGAACGAATTTCAATCAGTTATCGACAGTTGTTGTGAAAAAAGTGAAACCAAGTTTTGAAGAAAACGAAGATCATTTTTTATAGCAAATCATTAAGCTGAAAAGATCAATAGGTCACATGGTTCTTAATCCAAAATTTGAATAATCATCAACAGTCTTGTAAGCGGTCAAGGTAGTCGACACATTTTCTGTGATAATTGACTGCCTTTGCCTCCGACACTTGCAAAACAAGCTATCATAGTACAGTACCAAACTAAAATGTCATATGACAGGCTCTGTCATAAGACACTGTCGCCGAAGACCGTCACCAATGTATGCATTTTAGTTTTTCTCATAATAAGAGCTGCTGATGTTGTGCTTGTGTGAATTCTGAAAATAACAAGCAATGATGTCCTTGTAATAATATTTCTGATCAAAAATGGTTTGATTTACACCAAATTGAGGAATTACAACGAAATCACACATGTCAAATGATAGCTATTTTGATAATTTTCTTTTAGCTCGAATGTTATTCTACCGCTCGTGTTGTGTGAGAGAGACGACGGTAGAGCATGAGTGTTCGAATACAAACAGACTGTCGCGCACGACAACGAAGCGAGTGTAGTAAAAAACGTCAACCGTTTCAACCCCTGATCATCAATATTAATATCTCATTGTCAGCGTCATCCTATTGTCAGCGGCAAATTTTTTTTTTAACTTTATTAGAGAGATTTTTAGCCGTTGGCTAGTTCATTAGTCAACATTAGGCACATTAGTCAACTTTCATGTACCTCGGAAATTTCTTCACTGAAAGTTAGTTTAGGTGCTTACTAATGACCGACTAATCGAGTGCCAGGGAGGCGACTTCCACACCTGGAACCTATCAAACCTATCAACATATGGGCCGGGACCAACGGCTTTACATCCCTTCCGAAGGAAGACGGGACCAGATTTTTTTAGCCTTAGAAAAATCCCTGCGATCTCAGCTGGGATTGAACCCAGACACACTGGGGTGAAAAAGTAGTCTCACTTACCGCTCTACCATTTGCACCGTCTTACTACTGTCAATGCTGTTGATCGTATTTTTTTCATTTCCCTCAATTGAAGAGCCACTGTTTCAAACGATGTGCATCACGGGCAGTGAACACTGTGGAAAAAAACTACAAAGAAAAGGTCGCGTACAGACCTGATGTTGGTACAATGTCAGGTAAATTTTAAGGCGATTGCGACCCAATTTGGAATGAATGTTGGGTCAATATCGAGTCAAAGTTGGGCTGGGGTCTGATAGAAATCTAGGTGGTGATAGATGGAAATCGGGTAGGTTCAGGTCTTTTCGTTAATCTGGAGGTTGTACTAAATTGAATGACATCAAGCGTAACTCAATTGAAAATGATGCTTTCAAATGACGAAGCTATTGATACAGGTGGTCAGCGAATTGGGAAAACCGTGAAAATCGATAGATAACAGGGAATAAGAAAACTAACCGGGAAAACGTGGATAAACCCGGGAATTCGAAGGGAGAACCGGGAAAATCAAAAAACCCTAATACATGGCCACTTAAATTTTTAATTTGTAATTTTAGTTTTTGTACAAATGTTTCAATATTAACATATTAAAAATCAAAACCTTTTTTTTCATATAAATGTTGGAATTCTACTCAGAATAATCATGAGGTTATCCTTAAACTTATAAGAAAATACCCTTGGAAGTCATCTCGTACCTTGGTATTCTTATTGAAACACTCATAAGAAATAACTTTGGATCCTCCATAGAATTTCAATTTAATATTATCCTGAGAATTCATTTTCTTTTAAAATATTCTCAAAATTTTAATCAAATTTTGATTTTTTAGAGAATGAAATCAAAATGAAAACTGAATTTCATCTTTTTTATATAAGCATTCGTGATAACATATTTTGCCTACCGTGTGGTCGAGTTAACAAAAATTGGTGGGGTTGTGTACAAGCCACGACCGCATGGTTGACGTAGACTTCGTTAAGCTGTGTAGTGAAATTCTCGTGCATTTTTCTAGATATTGATTTAAAATACAGTTAACCTACGATTTAGGTTCCATGTATATATTTTGGATTTCCTACTTAGTAAAACTTGGTTGCATTCAGGACCTTATAAAAATGCGATTACATATTCTATTACATTTTGGTAAAGGTAGGGCTTTCTTCAGATGATTCATTGAAGCGTCCAACAATGAACGTCATGATGGCTGATATATTCCCTATAACCGAGCCTATAACTTCAAGACTTCTATAGAGCACAAATCTTGGACGGTTGTGACATCACTCATGAAATTGGAATTCCTTGTGTACTACACTACAGCAAACGCGAAGTTTCAGTGTCTTTGTTATAAGTTTTGTGAGAGCTGATATTTGTGCTTTTAAGATTTTTATGTGGTAATGAGATTGATCAGAAATAAGATTTCCACAGCGATTCAACTTCAAAACGCTAAAAAAAATGCACACGAAAAACGGAGTGCACCATTTTACAACCAATGTTATTTAAAATTTCGTAGATGATCGGGAAAATCTCGATTAGCCATAAATCCTTCCAATAAGTTATCGGTATATCTTTTATCTAACGATTGAGCAAAAAACATTACTAAATATGGCTGTTTTTTTTTAGATTTCGTTTGCTTTTTGTAGACGCACATGCATCATTTGGCATAAAAACACAAATTCGACAGTGAGCATGCATAAGGGCGTAACCGCCATCATCGATTCTCTCTTTTGTTAATATCGCCTGGATTAACATTTCTCGGTGCGTTTGCTGTTGCTTTTGATAGCCAATACAACCTATTACAGCACTACATTGAACAAATTTCAGATAATATTCAAGCTGAACATTGCATTAGGTCCTAAGTAACATTGATCCATTCACTTCGTCGACTTTCTCTTTCGTTAATAACTTGAGCATATAACCGTTTATTGTTGTGTTTATTGTACATGCACACAGATCTGCTGAAAATACCTGGGAATGTCTTTACATGGCCGTGGGGATACAAGGAGAAAGTCGACGAAGAGAATCTGTTGATGTTACTTAGGACCTAATGCAATGTCCAGCTTGAATTGTGTCGCTTAGCTGTAGCGAGAAAATCGATCATTGCTTACCGTTGACTTTCAGTACCTAGCGTTGCACTGAAAAAAAAAATCGACGGTACTTCTATTTATTCTAAGAGATTAGCATTGTAAATCCCTCCTACTTGGAGAATTACCCAACTAACAATTTTAGCTGCAGATAGGTTTATGCAGGAAGAAAATTTCTTATACAGCTATTTTTTTTTGACAGTATAAGCTAGTATGCAACTAAAATTGTTTGTTGGGTACACAATCGAACATGCCTTGTCCTCATCAGCAAAAAAATCCGGGATTTTTTAAACCGTTCTATACTAGGTTCTATAGCATAATTTTCCAAGTAGGATGGACTTACATAGCTAATCTAAAAGTATAAAGGTACTGTCTGATAATTTCAGTGCTAGGTACAAAATCTGTAATCTGTGTAGGGAAATCCCTTTTTTTCCCAACACAGAAACACACACCCCCTTTGCTTATGCAAAGTAATGGCTGTGCGTTCACAAAACGCACAAAATCAAGATATTCCCGATCAATAACGGAGTTTCGCATAAATGTCCAACCAGTTTTTTGAGGAAACCCTACCTACATATTAAAATAGGAACATAAATGTTGCGACATATCACTGATTTTAACTGTTGCCCAATGCTTAGGGAACTTACATAAATAACGTAATAGTTGAGAAGGGAGAGGGGTTTCAGAAGTTGTGACCGGCCATGTATTAGGTATAGCCAAACACGCTACAAGGGGGAAGGGGGTTAGTTGGTCAAAAGAATGCTACGTTTAACCACGAGTTAAATTTACCTCGGTAATTGGGACACAGCCAAAGAAGTATTTCTCGATTACTTTTTCGAAGCTTTTGTAAACAACACATTTGATCGTCAATTTGGCGTAACTGGTAGCTCACCCACGCATGCTAACACCACCATCAGATAGGGCAAATTTTCCCTGTGGTGTTAGTATGCGTGAGCGAGCTATAAGTTATGCCAAACCGACGATAACATGCGTTGTTTACAAAAGCTGATATGTCCTTTCAAAAAAGTAATCGAGATTTGTAGAACACGGGATCGTTATCATTCAGACAAGGAGGTTGATCCACTTCTAAGCGCTTGCTGGTATATGAAGGATATGAAAAAGATAGCAAATCACGTTTTCTTGATAACAAATCCATGTATGCCTTTTGATATCAGTAATTTAGTCAATAATAAACAAAATAAGTAATCAATATGTTATTATAACTATGACAGAAAAACAAAAAATAATAAAAACAAAACTAAATTATTTATTATTTTGATATTATGATATTAATTTTTTTTTCCTTGATCTGTTTTCCGTCGATCTTGTTTTCCGTGCTTAGCACCAATGCTACCGACGCCAGGGAGGCAGCTCCCACACCTGGACCCTACCAACGACACATCCGCAGGAAGGCGTGATCAGAGATTTCATGTCTCAAGAAGATGAAGATGGAATTATTCTAAAAATTAACTAAGAATTCAATTATCAACTTATTTCTTTTCCTCCGAAATTCCTTGCAATACATGGTAGAATTTCCTATGATTTTATTTCATAATTATCATGAAATTCTGGTCAGAACTCCCTTAGGATGTTTACCAGAATTTTATAGTAATTCATCTCGGCATTTCCCTTGAATGAACACTTCAATTCATTTTAAATTCTCCTATAGATTTTTTTTAATTATTGGAGCCATGAATATTCTTCTAAGTTGTAAAGCCTTGAAAGCATTCCAGGAATATAATACACTGGAGTCGCTTTTTACGCGGGTGATACGTCCCGCGTAAAAAAAAACCGCGTAAAAAAAACCGCGTAAAAAAAACCGCGTAAATTCCGGAATCCGCGTAAAAATAAACCGCGTAAATTCCAAAATCCGCGTAAAAAAAAACCGAGTAAAAAAAGACCGTGTAAGAAAAAACCGCGTAAAAAGCGATATACCGCGTAAATTCTGAAATCCGCGTAAAAAAAAACCAAAATCCGCGTAAAAAAAACCGCGTAAATTCCGGAATCCGCGTAAAAAAAAACCGCGTAAATTCCAAAATCCGCGTAAAAAAAAACCGCGTAAAAAAAACCGTGTAAAAAAAACCGCGTAAAAAGCGACTCCAGTGTAATGATTTTTAGTTCTTAAATGTTTTCCCATGCTCCACACGTTGAATTTTTTTTCTCAATGTAGGAGCCTCAGAATCTTGGAAATTTCCTTTTTCCCACTTTAAAGATTTTTGATTGTGCAAAGTACGAAGTGTTCCAACATTTTCTTACTCCGAGATCTCCAACAATTTTCTTTAGGTCTCATTTGTATCAAGTTCATAATTTAAAGTTTTTAAATTTTAGAAAGAATAAAAGCTTATTAATTGAATGGAAAATAATCTTTGATGGTCGAAACAAAATGTACACCAGCGCTCAAAAATCATTTGATAAATAATTGTTATGATCAGGTTTTTATTCTATTTATATTTTTTTTCTTCTATTTAGTTTTTTGATTGGTGAGTAAGCTTTAAGTGATGAGTTTCTTGGAACGAGCAAACCGAGAAAAACGCTGTTGAAAATTTATGTCTCCTTGGGGTCTTGTGGATGGGACAAGCAAGTTTTGGTATTTTTCACGGTATTTTCGGAACAAATCATGTAACTTTTAGTGTACAGCGTAAAATACCGGTAATTCACAATCGATTCTAACGGATAACTCATTTCTGGCAAACATCCATATGGGGCTGATATGCTTTTATGGGCAGTACAGAAAAAACATGTATTGATTTTTTAAACTCACAGTCACAAATATGGATTTTGTAATTTGTAATTCTTGGTGTTTTTTAAAGCTGAAAAACTTCACCAAATGTTAAATTGGTCAATGCTATAAAAATTTACCTTTTTGAATGTAATATACTGCTACATTTAGTAATAGAACATCATAAGAAAATATTGCAATTTTTTTTTTCACTTTTTTTAGCCTTAGGCTAGTCTATCTCTATTGCAGATTTCGCACCTCATTAGACTGCCCATAAAAGCATATCAGTCCCACCTGGGAAAAAAGCAGCTAGCCGTGAAAAACGCTGTTGAAAATTTATTTATCCTTATCCGTAACAGTATGGGACAATCTAGTTTTGGTATTTTTCACCATATTTTCTGAACAAAATATGTGACTTTTAATGCACAGTGTAAAATATAGGTAGTTACAATCGATTCTAATGCTCTATGGGCAGTAGGCTCCTGCATTAAAAATAAATACACAGTTATATTTTCCCACTGGTCATATAACTTAAATATTGAACTTCTTAGATTTTTCTAGAGTTTATTAGTTTTGATTTTTCAATTTTCGAGCCGGTGCGAAAACATTACTGTGCATTTATGTTTTGCTGAGGAAGCTAAAGTGGGGCAAAATGCGCAATACTTATGGTGATAAAACTTAAAAAATTAAAAAAATCATCCTGATGAATGTGGGCGTCTATAGTGGAATACTTGCATAAAGGACGATATAAGGATTATTAAATTCCATTTAATTCCACTACCTTAATTGCTTATCCTTGATAGATACGCGTATTTCGTCTACAATGTGCAGTGTATTGTACTAGTAGTCGATTATTAGTACAAGACACTGAGGAAGTTTGCACATTGTAGACGAAATACGCGTATCTGTCAAGGATAAGCAATTAAGGTAGTAGACTAATCCTTCTACCTTTCTTTATTAATTTAAATTTATTCTAAGGAATTATTTTTAAGACATGAGTCTACTTTAGTTCAAAATGCGCAATAAATTTGATAATCCATAAACAATCGAACATTTTGTGGGCATTCGCATCTCAACCGCGACTCATAGACTAACACGATGAAATCCTTTGCACACGTATGACTTACCTCATAAATATCCGGAAATTCAACTCCAGCTAGCACATTGTGGTTTTGAAGATAGGTTTGCATTACAGTGGCGTTTTCAAATGACAACGTATTTAACAGAGGGTCATTTAAGAATCCTATAGAATTTGTTAGTATTCGTTGTAACACTTGATTTCTTGGAGAAAATGCAATTGTAAACTGCAATGGTGGATTTAAGGGCATTGTTCTAAAATGTATAATAATGTTCAAACAACCATCCAAACTTATAGCTTTTTTTTAAACATAGGCATACCTTAGATGCCTAATTGAACTTAGGTCGAGTGGACTGAAAATAAAATTATCCTTGAACTGATCCGCATCTACCAGGCCACGAACCAAGATGAGAATCGTTGAAGCAGCTACGGGAATGGCGATTTCGAAAAAAGTCTGAAAATAATGCCGTATCGCGATGGTCCAGTTCTTCCATAGTAGTAAAATAAATTTTTCAAAGCTTGATGACGTCATAATGTCTTATGGAGCACAGGTTAGTTATCCAGAATCGTGGGCCCTTAGGTGAACTTTTCCGTGATTTAGTTTATGCCAACTCACTAGCTTATCTACCTCTACGTAGATGCTCTGATAAGATTGATGCGTCACACCTCCGATAAATTTTTGTTCACTAAAAATTGAAACAAAGTCTTTTTTAATTCTCCGTCAGTTCATTGCACTTGAACTTTATTGGTTTGTACGCAGTTAACCTCCAGTTATTACATGAATTATTAACATGACGGGTGTAACCTACGATTAAACTATTCAGATGCGTTAGTTCCCACATAAAAAAAAAATCAATTTTGTTATGCCTATTAATGTTAGCAACAGACTGCAAAGGTAACTTCTACACGAACGACACTATTGAATCCTTTAGAAAGCTATTCAACTGAACCTTCGCGGAGTTTGACCGGGTATCAACCTAATGCAATATTTATCGCATGCAACAGGTTGCTCCCTACGATTGACTTTTTCGACCGCGTTCCTCGGTGGCTACAACTGGACTAAAGTGTTTATGAGCGAAGTCACCTTTGAGGCTTGGTAGACCGTTTATCGACTTTCATATCATGAGCTAAGATTGGTAAATTACGTAGACGCCGCCGTGTTTATCGTGTAGGTCTCAGTATGTATCACGCACAAGCGTGGATTATCGGTCTCATAGGAAGTACAACTACAGACGGACGACTGTATGAATTAATCATTATGTTTCGACATTGTTTTGGTTTATTAGTAAAGGGTAAAGGGAGGTACATAGTACAGTTAGCCATTCTACTGTTCGTCTGTTATTCTTTGGTATTTAGTGAAAAATAAAAACACTTGCTCCAAGGATGTTTGACCGAGGGCGTAATCTTCGATCTCTAGTGTCCTCTTGGCAGTTTCCATCAGTCCAAACATCGTTGACCACTTCATATTTGATTGAGCTATGTGGAACGTAAGTGAATCTTGGTGTTCTTCTCTGAAATCGGAAGAGGATACGTCAATTCTCATACAACAAAAACACAAACGTTGAATTTTTTACCTCAAAACTGCTCCTTCAAAATGTTCTACTACGTAGTTCTTGACAGCATACTGCCGTTTTGAAGAATTAGTTTCAGATTCGGCCTTTCTGATTTTCACAGTAAGGAAATATCCTTTCGAGAACTTACTCTTCAAATGTTGCGTAGATCCTATGCATTTGAACTCGCCATTTACCATGATAGCTAATCGGGTACATAGGGCTTCACATTCTTCCATGCTGTGTGATGTTAATATTATGGACTTTCCCGCCTTTTTCACGTTTAGTATGACATTCCACAACTGTCGCTTTGCTCCTGGATCCATTCCGGTAGTGGGCTCATCCAAATAAACCACAGTGGGATTCGCAAGAAGTGCTAGTGCCGTGCTTAACTTTCGCTTATTTCCTCCGCTGTATTCTTTGATCCTTTTGTCGATGTGCTGCATGAAGTTAAGTTCGTGTGCTAATTTCTCAGAAGCTGCCGTTATATCTTGATTGGGAATTCCTCTCATGAGTGCAAAAATCTTCAACGTCTCTCGGCCAGTCAAGTCCTCCAAAACGGCATCGAACTGTGGACAGTATCCAATGTGTTTGTGAACCTCATTCATGTTGCTCTTCAAATTGATGCCCTTGACCCATGCCTGCCCAGAAGAAATGTTTTCATCGCCAGTCAACATCTTGAAGGTTGATGTCTTCCCGGCACCGTTAATTCCCAAAAGTCCAAAACATTCCGATGTCTCGACAGAAACACTCAGTTGATTGACAGCTTGGAAACTATTGTAATATTTTGTCAGATCACGTATAACTAAATTGTTATCTGATATTTGTGTTTCTGTAAGGCCAGCAACTCGTTGCTTCTCGCTGTACACGTCGTCGTCCATACCAGCGTCTTCGATAATGGCAAGTTTTTGCTTACTAACTTGGTATTTCCTGTTAAAACATCTCTGAACTAATCGGAATTCAACCACAATCAGTACCATGAATGCAATCACACCTACAACTGCCATATACGCTAGCTGCCTGTTGACTCCCTTTGACTCCCAGGTGAATATCTCCGTATCACAACAATCAGGGAACTGGAGACACATAAACTCCTCGGTACAGAAAGGAATGACTGAACATTGCTGATTACACACTGATCGTGTCGTGGATAGTACGTTGATGTTACTCAAGCTTTGACTTAACGAAAACAGTGGGAATATCATAAAAAACCACTCCAGGCCGCGTGCAATATCTGCCAAATTGAACACTTCAAACTTCAGTAAAAATACAGCGGTGAAAAAAATCGTTCCAGTGAATATGTTGATCATCATCATTTTGACAAATCCAGTGGAAGGTATCTCGAACCAAAACGAGAAAAGGTACGTTATTGGCAGGAACGCCAATCCAAACACGCAAAGGATCATGTACACTCGTCCAAGCTCTTCCCCAGTTGACCAACCGTCCTCTTGGAAGGCTGTAAGCGTAGCGAGATAGATTAACGCTGTTATGAGAAAGGTAATGTAATCCCAAATGAAAGAAACACTCCAAAATGTGAATACATTCACTCCACTGACAAACTGTAGCAATTTTGCACGTGATGTACGCTCCTTAATGTAGAACATGATGTAGAGGGCAGCTATGAATGACATTGCAAAGCCGGTATTGAATGACAGTTGAAATCCCAGATTGTTGCCAGCTTGCAGTTGAGTGAACTAAAATCGAAACAAATTCTGCATTCATAGTGATGAAATTATGGAAACATTTGTTTGAAGCTTACTCTCGTATTTGGACGGTATGGTAGCGGTTTGTTGACGGTGTTTATCTGACATGAGCTGCAGCTTAATTTCAGGAATGCATTGTACAGAAAATCTATTCCTAGTGGAGCTGTGTGGACTCCTTGCGGGTTGAACCAAACCGTTTGTCTGTTGTCTGATAGAGTTGCAGCAACCATAAACTCTCGATTCACTCGTCCAATATTGGCATTGGATATGGCCAGTATATGGTCTGTCATGTTTCGATTGATGATTTCCAATCGATGAGATGAAGGAAAACCTTCAAATATTCTTTGAAATCCCGTAACAATGGTGCTATCCGATGGCTCAAGGAGAGTGGTGGTTGATGAATAGTTGTAAACAGAAATAGGTAGTGGAGGAAGCTCGGTTACTCCTGGGAAGGAACGTACAATAGCAACAGTGACAACTACAAAGTAAATAGGAATTAGTGCCTGCACCAAGTGCTGCACCCAGCTACGTTTTGTGGAGATCCACTTTTTCAAAAACATCGAACGGATTTGGTTGAATGTGAGCTTTGCTCCGCCCAGAAGGGCTTCGTTATCTTCATGCACTAAAAATAAACAGTAGGTTGAGATTACAGACGCATTTTCTCGTAATGGTTCTCTTACATCTTACTGTTGATGCCATGTTTGATTCAGGCGCTGTATCGAGTTCATCTTTGACAATAGCTTTCTTGTCCAAGGCGTACGAATCACTGCCAACTCTGCAAGAAATTCAAGTCAATTAAGTTTTTGCGAATTAAAGTTAGTTTACTTTTGAAAATTGAATCAAACTAAATTTCCATAACTTACTTTAAGAAAACTTCCTCCAACGTTGTGAGGGATATTCCGTAATTTTTTATGCCTAATCTATCCGTATTCTCTTCCAGATCCTTCAGCATATGCTGGAACATTGATGTATAATTTTCATTCAGCACAAATGACAGCTCTGTTCCGATATCTGTGTCAATTTCAATATCTGGAATGTATTTCCTCAACAAATATTTCAAGTTTCTGGCATCACATGCTTCATCCTTGACGCAGATCAGCCTATACCCTACACCAAACCGTTTCTTCAGGAAAAACGATGATCCTACTGCCTTCAGTTCACCTTCCGCCATGATCGCTATCCGATCTCCCAGAATATCGGCTTCATCCATAAAGTGAGTGGAAAGTAATATAGTACGGCCTTTCTTCTCCTGAATAAGTAAATCCCACAAAGCACGTCGAGCAGAAGGATCCATGCCGGAAGTTGGCTCGTCGCACAGCACTACTTTTGATCCGCCGCATAGTGCTATTCCGACCGAAAGCTTCCGTTTCATTCCTCCCGACAGCGTGTGCGATTGTTTATTGACTTTGTCTTCTAACTCCAGTATTTTCACATAATGTTCGATCTCTGTTTTGACTGCTTTTCCAGGTACACCCTTCAACCGAGCGAAAAATTCGATATGTTCCGATACAGTTAGTTCATCAAACAGAACGTTGTGTTGAGGGCATAATCCTAGAGATCCTCGAACAGCGTCCAAATCCGTCGTAATGTCATATCCATTGATAATGGCAGTTCCTGAAGTAGGAGCGAATATTCCCGTCAACATAGACATTGTTGTTGTCTTGCCTGCTCCATTGTGTCCTAGTAGAACAGTTATCTGATCTTCGAACATATTTAAGGTGAGCCCGCTTACAGCAATTTTCTTCTTATCGAATACCTTTCGAAGATTTCGTATTTGTACTCCAGCCACTTTATCAGATGGTTCCGTTTCCAAACTGTCATTATCGAACACGAACGACGAACTAGTAACATTAGATGGCTTTGCTTTTCCGCACCAAAATTTCTTGGTTAAAAAGAAATACCAAGGCTGTCCAACTCCAAATTCACCAGGAAATACCTTTTCTATGTACAAGGCCACTAGTAAATACACGAACGCATCAATCATAAGCATGATCATAGTATAGCCAACGGATAGGTTGTCATCTACTGTAACCGGTTCGAATAGGTTAGACCATTGTAATCCATTGGATGTACCTTCATGTCTCATCATCAACATAAACCCGAATGACATTGCCGAATTGGAGAAAATGCAAAGTGATAGCTTCACGGCCAACGACAGGCTTCCGTAATTTGCAAACACAACATTATACGGCACGGTCATGATGAACCAAATCAGACCAGAGATGCCGGCCGCAATGTTGGCTGAAATTGATTAACGGATTAACCTAAACATGTAATCATATTATCATTGTGCTCTCACCCTTCGAAAATATCGTGCTCATCATAAAACAATAGCAAATACTTGTCACACTGAATACGAATAGATAAACCCAAACAGCACTCCATTCTGAATACTCGAAGACAGCTAGCTCGCTGTTTGTTGTTAGATTAGCGCAGAGCAAAGCAGTTATGAGAGATATGGAGACAGTCAGCAGCATAATACATTTGATGAACCACGCATTCCAGTGCAACCAACTGGACAGCCCCATAATCTTCATGGTTTCCTTCAGCTGTCGTTCCTTCTCGACTGTAATATACTTTACAGTATTGATAGCAGTATAGAAGAAAGCTATCACGATTATCAATGGCAGCAGATTCTCCAAGCCCGTTAGCAGTGGATCGCTATAGTATGGTGGATAAGGGAACCTCTGAAACGTATTTTGTTTTTTATTTATAATGTTTATTGTTCAGAACTCTAAATGCTACCTGAAGAAACACCGGTGTAAACTCGACGGTTGGAGCACGTTCCAGTATGATGGCTCGATCCACCGCACTTTGAACAGCGATAAATGATTCATTGAAGTAATTTGCCGGATATCCTCCGTCGTCTCTATCGGGATCCTTAGCTCCTGCTATTTGAAACTGTTGAAACATAAGCTCCGTATACCAGTTAGCCCAGAAGGCTGAAAATTCATCCTGAAATGTGCGCATCTCTGCCGGAAATCGCAGCGAGTACGATACTTTATCTGGTAAATCATTAAGCGTGCGATAGCTATCCGGAAACTCGATTCCCACCAAAGTGTTATTATTGCGAAGAAAGTTCTCCATTTGAAGAGCATTCTGAAATGCTTGGATATCCAGTGGTTCCCGTATTTGCAGAGCAGCACTGGCAACCAACCTATCCACTAACGCCCCCTGTGGAGAATACGCCAACATATAACTAATTGGTGGATCTATCGTTGGGTTAGCTTCTGGACTAAAAAAGAAAAATATTTAAAAAGCACTATTCACGCCACTACAAACAATCTTACAGCATGTGCCCAATGGTATCTGTTGGAAGAGCGTTCCATACAGTCGGTTCACTGAACACCTTTGGATCGACCAAACCTCTAATCAGGATCAATACTGCACAAGACAATGCTGGAATTAGTATTTCGAAAATAGTTTGCACATAGTGTCGTTTCTGTATGATCCAGTTTTTCCACAAAAGGAGAAGAAATTTTTCCCAACTAGAAGCTCCCATCGGTGCAGGTGTTCTCGCTGAAATGTTTGCAAACAAATCTGTGCAATCAGTTCAATGAAATGTACTCGTTTCGGTGCAAGCAAGAATGATATAGTATGGAGGTTTAATTGCCTTTTTATCAGTGACGCGTTGAATTGCGCTCTTGATGTGGTTGACACCGCATGTACTTCAGTGTACTCCAACGCAGTTCAATGTGGTTTTGATTCAATAAAGAGGATTATGTTCCCGATTATTAAGCCCATAAGATAGTTCTATAAGGACTCCAGAATGTACCGGATGTATGGTAGCCACTGATGAATCAAAATAATCGTAAGCTAAATTTACCATTATCTTTTTAAATGATGATTGATTGAAATAAGCCGCTAAGTAATTATTCGCTATCGCTGGAAGCATGATTCGCGAGGAGAAATTTTCACCTTGAACTTCAAGGTTGTTCAAATCGAGCCACTTACCTCAGCAATCAAAAGAAAATAACTTCCTTAATTATTAAATCAACCACTCAAAGCTATTTTTCACTACCTTATGGAGGATACTTGAGCGATGCACAATATTTCGAACCGACTGAGCTACTCGGCGTAGGTGTTCTTGTACCGACTAAATTCACGCAATTACTACCATCGATATGGATTAACCGACTTTTTAAGGCTAGCACGAATCGATTGGTAAAAACCATATCAATCGACTGTAGATAAGTGTTACTAATCGAGCCCTGATTGCCATCATCGACTTCGTCATCGTCATCAACAACATCGATGCCGTTCGTTAATATGTCTAAGGCCAGAACCATTCTACTATTGTCGATATCTTTGTATCGAACGGTTTTCGTTGAAAAAAAAAAACAGATTATGGATTATGGTCAGTTACACATTTTCAAAATCAAACATCTCTATTAAAGCAGATGAAGAAAATTTCATAAATATTATAACATCAACTGAGTATTACATACTACTCATCATAGGCTTGAAAGGTTAATGGTTGACTAATGACTATAAAGGCGTAGTTAGGGGCCACATAATAAACGACGATCGAAACGACTTTTTCATGCAAGCAGTTCATACAAAATCCGCTTCGTTCGACTTCCACTAATAGGCTCTAGCTTTCTTATCCAAATAAAATATTACATACTAAATACGCACAGGGTATCGTCTGCTGACCATTGCCGCTGGTATATCGTAGGAGTCCCAGGTACCCGGTTCAAGCTTTAGTTGGCGGCGGTGGCTCTTCTTAACCTTCTACTTCCTGAGTAGTAAGTGTGAATAAGGGCGTCTATGTGATGTTTTGCTGTACACAGATAAAAATTCTGAATTTTAATTTAATCATTCACGTAAACTTGTATTTAATTTCATGCAACCGAGCAACTTGTAAACAATGTTGTTTACAAAGATGGGCTTTTGTATACAAGTTGAAGTAAGTTGAAGCACAACCATATGGATATTACTTTTATATATAAGGGAAGGACGAAAGTTACTAATATGTAGTGTGATAAGGCAATAAATTTACCAATTTTTGACAATACCTGCTGTACCTGTCCGAAATCCTGTATACGTTAGTAGAAGTAGCACTGAATACCAACCCTACACACTCAATCTAGCTTGCAAAAAATCCGGCAGCGCCCATTAGTTCGGTATTTATTTTAACTGAGATCTCAGCAAAACTTCTGTTTATAAACTAATATCTCAGAAAAATTCTGATTTATTAGCTGAATCTTGGCATGTTTTTTTTACTAATATCCAGCAAAATAAAATGCCGGGCTAATCGACGGTGCCATTCTTGGCAATAAAAATTAAGTGTGTATATCCAGTTTCCAATATTTCAGTAATATATTGTCAACATGCTGCATCTGCTTTCGAAAATAATGTTTTAAACGGCAATTTGTCGAAACTGATTACATGTCCACGCACACTAATAGGAAAAGGTTGGTACATGAGCTAGCAGTTTCGACAAATTGCCGTTTGAATTATTGTTTTGAATAGCAGATTCGACTTTCTATTAGTGTATCTGTGATTTATATTAAGCATACTCCTCAATCGTTTTGTAATTTGAAATGTTTGCTAAATATCATGTAAGCTAGGGAAAATGCCGTCTTCGGCACTTTACCTATTATAGTCAGGAAGGTGAATGAATTCATTGAGCGCTGATTGTGTGCATGAAGATGAACACTATAAGATTTCATTTACCTCTTTGACGATAATATTGATTGATTGATTTAGTTTATTTATGAGACTTTCAGCCGCAGACTGGTTCATCTCCGAAGATTGACGATAATAGGTAAAGAAAAAGCCGAAATTTGCCATATGTATGATTCAAAAGACATCACAAAGAGAAGCTTGGATTCACTTTTTTCAGATCATGATCGATGCCATGCATCGTTTTTCTAGTAATCCTTGGTTTCAAACGAGCCCGCTCCTTGTGCTTAAGGTTCAATTTACTTTGATGCATTTTTTTAAAATTCAAAAGCAGTTTGTTTCGACGCATTATTTTAGATTGCAAAAAGCTCACGTCATTTTGTGTAAAATATCAAAAGGAATCGAATAGTGCGAGCTTTTTGCATTCTGAAATAATGCGTCGGAAAAAACTGCTTTTGAAATTTTCCAAAAAGCTTCAAAATAAATTGAACCTTAAGGATTGAATCATTGATTCAATCCCAGTTGTGCGTTGCTATCGTTGCTATGCGTACCAGACAATCCTGCATTCTGCATGTGTTTTCACCGTATTATTTGTTAGTAGAGCTGGTGATTGATTTGTATGAAATGTCTCAGAACTTGAATAGAATTTTACACTACTTTTTCGAACTGTGTACCTGTTGTGAATATCTAGTGCATAATGTTCCCTTAACTTGTTATGGACACCCTGTCTTGCCTCAAAAGTTACCCTTTTTGAAGTTCTAGTTTTCACAACATAAAGGGGACCATTACGGAGCATGACATTTGATCAAATTATTCGCAGTTCTACTTATCCAACGCTGAGTGAGGGATAGAGGATGACACACATATGACATATGCATTAAGCTTGAAATGCGAAGAAGAAGAAGAGAAGTATTCAAATTCTTGATGTTTTTCACTAGTGATTAATTCTGTTTGAAGTGTAGCAGCTTTAATACTATCAGACCAACTAGTAGTTTTCCGTAATATTACATCATATATGCAGTCACTTATTTTATTTTGAACCAAATTTATTTTGTACGCGCTACTCATAAAATTAAAATTCTGGCAATGAACTATAACTTCAGTTATAATTTTACTACTGAACTCACTACACAGTTAAAATTATTTTGTAATTTTACACGAATTTCCATGCACATAAAAAGAGCATGCATATTCATGTAAAATTAAATTGGTTTTTAAATTTACACAACTTGAAATTTACATGCATGTAAAATTAAACGTCACTTGAATTTTACATGGATGGCTTTAGATGGATTCACTTTCTAATTCTACAGGACATTTAGAATTACACGCATTTGGCTTTTTGAACGAATTTGCATAAAATCGAACTGATTGTCAAATACGCGGAATTATCACCCACGTGGAATAACCAACTTTCTGTTTTTCTATTTTTCCATATCCAATTTTTTTTGATTTTCTGCACGAACTACTGTTTTTCTGATTAATTGGCTGATCAAGTTGCTGGAAGGAGATTCTTTATTGTTCCGTAGATGCGTATAGGTGACTTTGCCTATCGATCTACCCAATCCGTTTTTGGCCCTTCATACAGCGACATGTTGAGGACAATCAGAGGTTATTAAGCTTGTGAACAGAGAAGAGAGCCCACTGCTGTCGGACTTAGTTTCCGTGCTACAATGGGTGGTAAACCACTATCATCATCATATATATCATTAAGACGGTCAAGCGTTTCATGGATTACGCTTCCGTTCTGAAGTTGTAGTATTGAACGATGATTCACCTTGCGTTTGACTAGCACTGTCGCATTAATGGTTCTTCCTTATCACAATAAAGCTTCATGTTGATATTAGATGGCATTTCCAACCAACTCCGGAAATTATAATATATTTCATTATAATTAACGGATATTTCAGTTAACAATTAACACTTTTTTGAATTTTACTCAAAATTAAAAACAAAAAATTATCGTGTATTTTTTCACAGAATTAGTTTACTTTTCTAGCAACTTTGACTCAGATGTCATTCCAAAATGGCCAAAATTTGCCCATAAAACATTATTATGCAAATTTTCATGCAAATCGAAGCAGGTCGAGTCTTGAATTTTGATTTTGACGTAGAACTACGTCTTTGTCGACTATACTGGGGTGCAAATCAAAAAATATGTGTGGTGAAATAGTGTTAGGTTTTAAACGCTTATAAGTTTGTGATTTATTTATTTATTTTATTTATTTTATTTATTTTATTTATTTTATTTATTTTATTTATTTTATTTATTTTATTTATTTTATTTATTTTATTTATTTTATTTATTTTATTTATTTTATTTATTTTATTTATTTTATTTATTTTATTTATTTTATTTATTTTATTTATTTTATTTATTTTATTTATTTTATTTATTTTATTTATTTTATTTATTTTATTTATTTTATTTATTTTATTTATTTTATTTATTTTATTTATTTTATTTATTTTATTTATTTTATTTATTTTATTTATTTTATTTATTTTATTTATTTTATTTATTTTATTTATTTTATTTATTTTATTTATTTTATTTATTTTATTTATTTTATTTATTTTATTTATTTTATTTATTTTATTTGTTTTATTTATTTTATTTATTTTATTTATTTTATTTATTTTATTTATTTTATTTATTTTATTTATTTTATTTATTTTATTTATTTTATTTATTTTATTTATTTTATTTATTTTATTTATTTTATTTATTTTATTTATTTTATTTATTTTATTTATTTTATTTATTTTATTTATTTTATTTATTTTATTTATTTTATTTATTTTATTTATTTTATTTATTTTATTTATTTTATTTATTTTATTTATTTTATTTATTTTATTTATTTTATTTATTTTATTTATTTTATTTATTTTATTTATTTTATTTATTTTATTTATTTTATTTATTTTATTTATTTTATTTATTTTATTTATTTTATTTATTTTATTTATTTTATTTATTTTATTTATTTTATTTATTTTATTTATTTTATTTATTTTATTTATTTTATTTGTTTTATTTATTTTATTTATTTTATTTATTTTATTTATTTTATTTATTTTATTTATTTTATTTATTTTATTTATTTTATTTATTTTATTTATTTTATTTATTTTATTTATTTTATTTATTTTATTTATTTTATTTATTTTATTTATTTTATTTATTTTATTTATTTTATTTATTTTATTTATTTTATTTATTTTATTTATTTTATTTATTTTATTTATTTTATTTATTTTATTTATTTTATTTATTTTATTTATTTTATTTATTTTATTTATTTTATTTATTTTATTTATTTTATTTATTTTATTTATTTTATTT